CCCCAAAACCCCAAAACCCCAAAACCCCGAATGGATAAATATATCAAAATCAGTGTGTTTTTGATTAAAAGATTAGTTTAGGATTTTATTGAATAACTTTAATTTTTAACAAAATAATATTTAATCATGTTTTAATCGAAGATGAGTTTTTTAAATCTCAAAAAAGATATTAGAATGAACAAATAGTCATTTGATTTTTCTATCTTATTCATTATGATCATACTTCTCGAGCCACTTCTAACGATGACTCATATTGAATCAAGTACAGAAGGAGCAATATAGGAGAGAAAATTAACTATTAGCTCTACTAAACTGTCTGGTTAAATCGGATTGCCTCAGTTTTACGGTGATCAAACCACTGTTGGAGAGTTATTTTCAATATCAGAATATGATTTTTAAGAATAATCTGGATTCATCCTTGGAGGATACTGCAATGATGAACATCTGGTTGGCTTAGACGGATTTAATGCCGTAGTCATGCTGCTTAATCAAAATTACAATATAATAGTCAGCAGATACTATATTGAAATAAGGAATTTTTATTGATGCTAACAAGCTCAAACTGTAATATTTTGTATGGGGCTATTCCAAGCAGATTTAAAATATATCTTTATTGCTTTGGATTCAATAGATCTACGAGTTCTTCAAACTATTCGAATAGTAGATGGTAATGAAGTCAGTATAAATTATCCTGATTTTTATCATGATATGGTAATTTAAGATGATTACAGTTGCCTATATGCAACATGGGATGATAACTTTTATAGTGGTCCTTTCAAGGCCTTAAGAATTAAGATTACCCAGAATTCCCCTTATTTTACTTCTGTTGAAACACATTATGGCGGAAAAACGGTTGGCCCTTTGTACAAAGCACTTGCTTTTACTGCAGAGCAATCGTTGAATTAAGTGCTAATCGGTGGAACTTATTGCGACTATTTTGACGTTAGTTATCCAATAGTTTTGATCTATGAAAAAGCAAATCTTTTAACTTCTCCCACTTATAAGTATTGGGATAGTCTAGACTATCCATTCTCTACCTATGGGGCGTACATTTCGGCAATTACTTATAGTACAAATTTAAACTAAGTTTTCATTTCATTAACTCCTTTTGATGACAGCTGGACTGATAATTTCAATACATACATAGTTGAATTAGATAATGCTTTTTCTCCATTGTAGTTTGATACTCAATTTACAATTTACTATGTAATTACACTCTTTATTAAACAATACACAGGTAATTCAACTAGAATACGATGATACTAGTAATACTTTAGTAGGTTTGTTTGAGCTTACTTCTGATACAGTAGTTGGGATATTCCTTTCAGACATGTCAGGTGTATATTTTTATGATTTACATTTAGCTCCTGATGTTCTTTTCATGAAAATTATTTAAAGCTCAATCTATGTTTCAGGATCTTTATACATCTTTGAATGGGGTAGTAACCTGTATTTTGATGGATACAACAACTTAAGCCCTTATGATGGGTCAAGTTTCGCTTTTAGTCCCTCTTAGGAATTAAGCTCACTTGTGAATTTAGTAAATCCCTCTTGCACTATTACATCCTCAACATCAGGACTGTCTATAATCAGTGAAAATGTAAATTATGCAATCGAGTCTGTCGCTTAAGTAATAACAGGTGACCCTTAATATCTAAATAATTTTTTGAGATAACCAACTTAAACTTTGGCTTCTGAGTTAAATACTTTATCGTATAGTTTGACAGTAAGCTGTTCAAATTAGATATCTTATTACACTGCTGGTGAGCCAAAATTAGATATTTTGTTTACAGTAAGTTATGCAACTTGTAATGGAGGAACATCATGTCCAATGATAACCTCTTTATCTAGTACTATCACCTCTGTACCATATGTGTCCTCAGCTTCTGGCTTATTTGAATACTCATTTACATCTTCGTATGAATTAACCTTTTCTGTATATACTTCAACGCTTACTGGAACAGATGAGCTTTACTAAATTTAATTTTCATTTGAAGATTAGACAACTGGGGCAAGTCAATATTACTTAGCAACTGTCAACGTCTATCCTGGTACTACAACTACTACCACAACTACGACAACTACGACTACAACAACTACTACAAGTACAACAACTACTACAAGTACAACAACTCCAACAACTACTATTTCAACATCAGATTCTACTAGTGACTCTACAACTGAGACACCATATCCAAGTGATACCACAACTACAACAACAACTGAGACACCATATCCAAGTGATACCTCAACTACAACAACAACTGAGACACCAACTCCAAGTGCTACTACAACAATATCCACTACGACTATAACCCCTACACTTAGTGATACAACAACAACTTCAACAACTGTAACACTAACTACAATTTAAACAACTACAACTACAACATCAACTACAAATACCCCAATTCCAAGTGATACTACTACGTCAAGTACTACTACTACTACGCCAAGTACTACCGCAACTACTACTTCAAGTACAACTACTACTACGCCAAGTACTACCACAACTACTACTTCAAGTACTACTAATCCTACAACTACAACAACATCTACTGCACTCCCAGATATCACTTTAACAACCACTTCAACTATAACTGAGACTTCAAGCCCTAATTAGTTAATTAGAGTTGATTAAAATGGAATTGCATTAGTTTTGGGAGATCCACAAGTATTGCAATAGAATTTACCAGCTGTTAATACTTAACCCTATATTGACCTGCAAAGGTTTCAACTCAATGATATTAGCTTGCTTTTGAACGCTCAATTCAAATAAGTCTATTTCATCCCACAAGATGACTAAGGAGATAGTCTTAATTGTGAGATCTTATTCAAGAAGGAAAATTAGATTGTTTTATTAAATTGGATAAGCTACGATAAAATTACCAATATCTTCAGCATTGCACCTAATAACTCTGCTTAAATAGGATCTTATGATGTGAGTATAGTCCTGAAGGAGAAATTAACTAATGAAAAATTAACTAATCAGTATATCTTTAAAATCAATATAATTGGCTAATCTCCTGTGGTAACAAACAATTTAACTTAAGAAGATGTAGTATCAGAAAACTCATCAATAGGATTAGATGCATCAAGTAATTATTTATTCATAAATTAAATAATAATCTTATAGATCAAACAAATTCTAGCCAAGGTACAAATAGCTAAGGTAATTCTAGCCCTAAAAAGACAGTGGAGGAATTTAGTATTTAACTTAAATCAATCAGTTATTAAGGAGCTATGACATTAACTTTTTCATAAAATGTTAAAACTTTTGATTAAAACCTTATTAAAAGCAACAATATAATGGATTTAAATATAGAGGGACTTAACTATCCTGAAGATTTTGATTGGAATGTCACTAATTTTAAAAGTAATCAAATGCAAATTAAACTTAAGCTTATTAATGCAGAAAATTTCGATTCTTTTACAGTAAGTTTGAAATTTAAATTAATGAATTTATTAGAGAAAGAAATATATAAAAATCAACCTAATTAAGCCAGATGCGCTATAGCCAGAAAATGAATAGACTAAATTTAAAATTTCAAGCAATAATATGAGGCATGTAATAAAACTAATAGCTATATCAGAAGAAGAAACAATCTAATAAAATTCTTAATCCTCTTAGATAGGATAGGTTGTAAAAAGTGCATCTCTTGTGGCCACTGGTACATCAATAGTCATCCAAATTTTCTTGTAAAACATTCATTTTTAATAGTCATAGAGGTGGAAGTATGACATATCTATTTGGAATGATAAATACTATTCAGATCCTTACTATGCTTCCTCTGAATAATTTTATTATGCCTGAGTTCTTGACTTCATTCTTTGTGCTAATGAACTCATTTAATTTTCAATTATTGGACATATCAAGTGTATTTGAATAGTATTTAGATTTGCCCTCTAGTTAAGAACCTTATTCTGATAGCTTTGATAATCAGGGATATTCTACATGTAATATAATTCTAAATGCTTTTGATGTTGCAATTTTTGTTGGTTAAGGTATATTTACTGCAATTTTTGCATTTATTATGTAAAAAATAGCTAAGCATCCAAGGTAATAAACAAGCACTATATTCAAATTTTTATTATAGAGTAAAGAGATATTTTAAATAGCTTTTGTAAGATTTTTAATACAATGCAATTATCAGATTTGTTTTGGAATCTTATATTATTGTTACATTAAGCGCTATCATAAATTTTCTAAGAAGTGATTTCTCGAGCACAAGTGAGACGATATCTGTGATAATTGCTTTTGCCCTATTAGCAGTTTATCTCCTAGTATTTCCTTTATGGATGGGAATGAAGATATTTTTAAATTTAAACAACTTGGTGAAAGAAGATTTCAAAAGAAAATATGGTGGTGCTTATGAGGAATTTAAGGAGGACTATTAAAGTTTAATGTTTGAGCTTTATTTTCTTGCAAGACGAATAATTGTAGTAATTTCTGTCATATTTTTTGATAATTATCCGACTGTGCAGTGGCTTCTTTATACATACTTCGCATTTTTTGTATGTTTTATTAATTATTTACTTATTAATAGATGACTGTGTATGTAATTTAGATTTAGCCATATTAAGAGAAAATAAAAAATGTGCAAGAGGCGATAAATTAATTAACTGTAACAGTATTAGCCGTATTTTCAATATTTTTAACAGAGCAATTCTACACTGAGGAACGAGGAATTATTGCAGGTAATTTAAATATTTTAAATAAATTATAGGCTGGACAATTATAGGTGGTTTTGTATTCAATTCAATATCTAATTGGATATTCTTATTTATTGATAAATACAAAGCTGTAAGGGAATTTTGGTCTAAGAAAAATCTTATATTTTTGGAAATTAAAACATTTTTGAAAGAAATTTTCTCTTCATAGCATCATATTTCTGAGCAAATACCAAATGATAACACAGTCTCAATTGATATTACGAGACCAGATAATGAGCTTTCTATAGATTAGGATCCTTAATCACTAAATAATACAAATAGACCAGACAGTTCTATACGGGGAGAGGATAGGATTTAGAGTAGATTTTAACATTTAAAAAGACCTTCTGAACATAGATTCTTGGATAATTCAGGTCCATAGAATTTTGAATTTGAAAATAACTAATCAATAGGCAGTCCGAAGATATTAATGTAAGAGACTGTTGAAAGGGGTCCTGCTGATTTAGATTAGTTTTGAACAAATTATAAATATCTGATGAATATAATAGAATATTATTGATTTATTGATTTTTGAGAATTCGCTTTATTTTGCGTATTGGGGTTTTGGGGTTTTGGGG